CCATCATAGAGGAAGACAAAGACATTTGACATCATAAAAATTTTAACATATTTTAATGGAAATATTACATACAGGAGGGGAGCACAAATCACCCATGTGGAGCTCAGCAACATCATAAAAAATTAAAATTTCTCTAAAATGAAATACATTAGAGACTCCCCATTAAACACACAGGAGTAGCCCACTCTCTATTCTGAAATCAATGACAATAACACATGCATGTATGGATTCCTGAGAAGGTGTAATTCCTCCCCAGTGCAGGTGACAAAGATGATGGCAATATGGCTGGGGGTGCTGGTGGCTGGGAGAGTTTGTCTCCTAAGATATAATTTGGACAGTTCCATTATTTCTTTCACTTTATTGAATTATTTTTATGTGATACAACTTACAAGAAATGTGAGATTTCATAAAGAAAAGGTGGTGAGCAAAATGATTCTATATGTATAAACATGTAGTGAAATTTTTAGGATTCATTTTAGGAAAATGAATAATTTTAAATTATGTCCACAAATTCTCTGACACTTTGCCATTCAAAAGGTGAAATGAAATTCCTCTCCCTTTGCTTAGACTTAATGATACATTTCTCATGAATGGAGTATGGATAAAGAGCCGGTGTGAGTTTTGAAACCAGGTTATAAAAGACACTGATGATTCTTCCTTATCCCTTCTCTTGAATCACCATCAAAGAGGAGAGCTACGTCTTATATTATGAGGATCACTCAAACAACCCTAGGGAGAGGTATGCACGGTGAGCAATCAATGCCTCCTCAAAAGAGCCAGCAAGGAACTGAGGCCCTCCCCAGTAGTCACCTAAGCCCATCCTGGGAGCAGATCCTTCAGCCCTGTGAAGCCTTCAGTTACAGTCAGAGCCAACAGTCTAACTACATCTTTGTGAGAGACCTGGAGCCAGATCCAGTCAGCTAAGCGACTCTCTTTGCTAAAGAACAAATGCTTGTTGTTTTAAGGAGCTGCATTTTGGAATGACTGCCATGCAGTAATGGATAGCTAATACAGAATATATCTGGTAAAGAAATATAAATCATAAGTTTTAGTTTCAATAAGAGCAGAGTTAAAGACAATCATTTAAACTCTAGAAAATACTGATTTAAAAAATGTCTTAAGGGCAGTAGAGTGTAAGCAGAAGGAGTCAGAGGAAGGCATGGATTCAACTCTTGAAAGAAGGGAACCATACTTAAGTATGATCCAAGTTTAGATGATTTGTCCTCTGCAGGAGCCCCCCATTTCTCTTGTAGAGAGGCTATAACACATTTGGCAAAGTGTAATCTTATAATCTTGATGATTCAGTGGATGCATTTGGGGACTGCAGAGTAGCTAGACATTGGGAGGAGAGATCTTAGAGAGGAGAGAGATATAGAAGAAGACGTACATATCCCAATTAACCACTTGTCTGATCCCTGAACTACACACAGTTGACAACACTCCAAAAAGGGCAGGAGGAAAACAACAGCTGAAAGGTTAAATGAGCTGAGCAGATACTTCATTAACTATTCACAGCAGAGGAATACATTCAGGGTTTGAATCTTGTTAAGTTAGAGGTCTTGGTAAACATTTCAGTTTTTCCATCGAAATACCGAAAGGATGATGTTATAGGAATAAAGACTATGTGCCTGGACTAGGAGATTTTCCCTAAGGGTGGGTACAAACCAGAGAGACCAACCATAAAAAATAAACAATCAAGTTTCTAAAACTTCAAATTTAAATGACTGCTACAGGAAAATTCTACAGTACTGAGAGAAGGACAACAGAATCCAGAGTCTCTACAATACAGTATAAAAATGTCTACCACACAATGAAAAATTACTAGACAAATGCAAAGGAACAGGAATATGTGACCTATTGTAAAGGGTAAAACCAATCATTAGAAACACACTCTCAAAAGACCTAAGTTAGTACAAAAAACTTTAAAAAGTACCTCTTGTAAACCTGATAAAGTGTCTAAAGTAAAAGACATAATGAGTGAGGAGATGGGGAGCTCAGAAGAGATGTACAGGTGGTAAAATAGAGCCAAATGGAAACCAAAAGACAGAAAGGTATATTTTCAAAAAAAATCATTGTATGGAAAATTTTAAAAACATCACTGTATAGAGTCAAGAATTGACTGGATACAACAAAAGATTGAGTGAAACTAAGAACAATGTCATAGAAATTATCTAGTTAGAAGCACTCAGAAAAAAAAATTTTTTTTGAAAATGAATGTAGCCTCAATAAGCTGCAAGGGATAAAAAAAGCCTTACAATTATTACTGATACTCAAAGAGTTGTAAGAGAAAATGGAATTTAAACATATGAAGAAATACCAAAAAAATATTTTCTAAATTTGATTAAAGAAAAACCCACTAAGAAACACAGCAAGGGGCTGGGGATTTAGCTCAATGGCACAGAGCCTGCCTGGCAAGCACAAGGTCGTGAGTTCGGTTCCTGGTACTGGGAAAAAAAAAAAAAAAAAGAAACACAGCAAACCCCAAGCTGTAGTAATATAAACAAAATTACACAAAAGGCTGTTATAGTCACAGGCAAAGCACAGACAGAAGAAACACCACACAAGCGGCCAGAGGAACAAATTACACAAGGGAAAATAAAATAGGGTTGACAACTGACTTCACGGCCAGAAACAACAGATGCCAGAAGACAATGGAATAACATCTTCACAGTATCCAAAGAAAAGCATGCCAAGCTAGAATTCTATGATTGGCAAAATTTATTTCCAAAATGAAGAGGAAGGAAAGATACTTTCGATTATAATCTGGGAGAATTCCTTAACATCTGTGGGAGAAGCTTCAAAAAATAATATGAGAAATTATTTAGGCTGAAGAAAAACAGAAGCAAGAGAGAAATATGAAGTTAGAAAAAACAAGGAAGAGCAAGGGAATGGTATATTGTATGTAAGTAAGTATCATTTCTTTTCATAAGTATTTCAAAGTCACTTGAGTGATTAGAGGAAGAATAATAACAATGTCTGTGGGTTTATGACGTAGGAAGTAACATATATGAAAGAGAACAATGCGCTGCTGTGTACAAGGACACTCTGAGAGGGAGGCTGTCCTATGTCAGGAGCACCGAAAGGTGGCTCTACCTAGGGGTGGGCTCTGAGGGATGGGGAAGGAGAGGATAAGTGGAGGCTGAAGCTGTGTACAGCTGCTTTGGAAGCACTGGCTGTCACAGGCTGCTTGGGTCAAGGCCAGTTTCAACCCCGTGCCTGTCTCCCAGGACCGAGGCCCACCTCCGTCCCCTGTCCCTAGGTGGCATACGTCTTTCCAGCTCCGTGCTGCGGTCCCCGTTGTTTCCTTGGCACTCGTTCCATTTGTAACCCAATCCTGTGACAGGTCAAGTTCATGCCATGTCCCCCTACTTCCACCTCACCGAGTGCCTGGCCCACCACTCCTGGGCTCCCCGACTCCCCCTCTCACACCAGTACTTGGCCCTGCAGCACCTTCCACATCAGTACTGTTCACCCCAACGTCACGCTGAGCTCAGAGAGCCTCAGATTGTGTGTCACTTTTTTCTTCTCTCTCTTGGTGTCTGTGCCAGAACCATACGCATACTACATGCCTAAGGTACCCCAAGCATTAATTTAAAAAACATTCCATTCACATGCTCTGCAAGTGAACGCACTCTCTCTCCAGAATCTCAGCAACTCAGTCTATAATGAGCACAGAGCTATCTAATGAGAAGATCCTCTTTTTCTTTCTTCTTTTGCAAGCTAGGTAAGTACTCCACCACTGAGCCACAGTCCCAGCCTGCTAGTAGGTTCTTTGTGTGCATTACTCCACTGACCCCTCCTTACAACCGTACCTACCGCAGGCTCTAGAGGATCCTCTAAAGCCAGCATTCTCAGAGCACCATTTGTAGATAATCCTCTGAGGATCCTGTTATACTGCAGATTCTGGCTGACAGGTCTGAGATGTGGACAAGGATTCAGTAGTTCTAACAGATCCCAGATGACGCAAATGCAGCCAGTCTAGGTACTAGGGGGAGCAAATCTGAAACAATCCCAAAGGTGGGGTCCACCTGTTCATTCAAAGATAAATCCTTTCTGGTGACCAAGTGCATCTTCCAACAGGGGGGTGGACATGCCTTGCCGGTGAGGTCTACAGTCCCCGAGGCTCTCTGGCACCCGCTCCTCTCCCTGCTTCTGCTCAGTGATGGGCAGGCATCTAGTGGGCACTTCAGAATACCTGGCAACTGAGCCGTCACTCTGCGAGGATCCAGTGGGGCACGACAAGACATGAGACCCTTTTCTCCAAAGCCCTATTCTAACCAGGGCAGCTTGACTTAGCAATGTGAGGAGCTAAATAACACAGCCACACACAGCTGGAACAAAGCCAGAGGCACCGAGGGCTGGGCACTGGGGAGCGAGCCAGGGGTAGAGGAGTGGCTGGTAGGTAGTGCTTCACCAAGCATGGCAGGTAGGAGGTAGCTGCATGTCACAGGTCAGTGACACACTGAGCCAAGTGAGAGGCCGGGAGACGCAAGGATGGGAATAGCACGAGCCTACGCATAAACAGAGAGGACTGGGCCTATCTGGGAGACACTGTGATAACTGTCCTTCTGCCAAAGCCAGCAGACAGGGAAGGAGAAGTGGGCCACAGCTGGAGCGGGAGTCAGAGCCCAGGGAAGGCCTCAGTGCCAGGGAACAACTGTGAATCTGTCTGGGGAGGGACAGGGAGCCACAGAAGGACAGACTTTTAGAAGGGGTCTCTTCTCACAGACAGGAGAGTCAGCAGCTAGGCAGACCGGACCCCAGGAAAGGAAAATGGTGCCCCTCCGGTAGGTCACCAAAGGCTTTTCAGGGAAAACAATGAGTGGTTCCTTTGTCTTGAAGTTCCAACCCCTTGTTCCAGCTGCCAGGGCCACAGCACAGCTGGCATGGCTGCTTCCGGCCCAGGGCAACAGCACACGAGGCTGCTGAGCCCTGCAGAAAGGCAGCTCTCAGTGCGGCACCCAGCCCCAGGCCCCTCTTCTCCCTGCTGCCGGTCTTACCTCCTATTTTTGCATTGTACGCTATGCCCACGATGCAGTACGAGTTGTTCGCTGAAGCGGCAACTTCTCCCGCACAGCGTGTGCCGTGTCTGAAGCAAAAAGAGAAAACGAAGTGAAGCCCTGGCTTGGCACTGTGAAGGAATTCTATGCATTGCACAAGAATCTCTTCGGGTGAGGACGCTAGAAAGCCCATCTTCCGCATCCCTCCTCTAACAGGGTGCATCCGCCATTCTGCACGGCCCTTCCTGCCGCCTACAAATTACAAGCTCTCGCTCATGGCTCGTCCCTTCCATGGTACCTCCCCTGAGTTCCATGTCAGAGTTAGGGGCGCCAGCTCCCAGCACCCGTGTCCCCTCCCCGCCCCCCAGCCCTTGTTATTGGCTCACGGCCATTGCTATGCAAGGCTCAGGGCCATGCGGTCTCAGCTCTGTCTCCTGTGACTAATGACCCATCGCCTGGCACCCAGGTGCAGCGGCATCAGTGCTGACCGACGGGACGAAAGAAAGAACACACTGTACTGACGTCTGTGTCTTGTCCCTTGTGTGCCTACGGCACCACGCTCAGTCTGGACAGCCCTCTCGTCATTTCCACGGCCACTTAAGCAGGAGCCAGGGGAAGATGCTCTAAATGGAACACTGAGCGGCCAATGAGGAAATGACCAGAAAAACAAATGGCTTTCCTCAGCAATGACCCATCCCCCGAAGTGCCACATCGGGTCAGTTCCTCCAGCAGAGGATGAAACGTACGGGCGACTCTGAACAGCACATCACTGAGAAGAGTCCACAGGGAACTAGAACCACTAATTCAAATTTAAAGCTGCCTTTGAAAACGGTCCTGGGTCTGCGTGCTCGCCCTTTGCAAGGGAGTCCTCTGTTCTTCCCTGGAATTCTCGAAGCCCCAAGGCCAGGGCCACTTACGGGGTCACATGGCTTGGTGGTTTATGCTGGGATTCAATCCTGCCCTTCAAGGGTCACTGCATGGGATATGGATCACACCTCCCTGTGCGACCCTGAGGGACCAGGAAACGGGCTCCTTGCCCCAGGCATCCTCACTGCTGGGCAGGAAGGGCACCTTGGGACATGTGGCAAGGGAAGCAGCCTTCAGGGCTAAAGCTGCCACCCCTCCGGGGAGCTCTGTGGCCTATTATGTGGGACACAGCGGCCTGGCCCAGCACAGCACTATGTGGGCACCAGCTGTGAGCCTCGGGATGGAATCAACTGCCAGCTGAAACCACTGCTGTGGTGGGGACACTAAGCGCCCCTAGGTTAAGAGATTGGTCCCCAGGGTGGCATCCCAGGGAGGTGCTCTGGACCTTTAGAGCAGTAGCCTTGTGGGAGGTCCCTAGCTCACTGCAGGGTGGTCCTGCAGGGTATTTGGGACCCAGGGGCCCTTACTCCTTCCCCTTCCTTCTCCTGGCTAAGGAGGTAACCTGTTTTGCTCCACTGTGGGCCCCACCACAATGTGCTGCATTGCCCTGGGGCCAATGATCCAGGGGCTAGACCCTCCTAAACTGAGATCTAATGAATCTTCTCCACTTACCAGAAGCAGGTCTCACTTTGTTGCCCAGGCTGGTCTCAAACTCCTGAGCCGAAGTGATCTTTCTACTTCAGCTTCCTGAATAGCTGGGACCACAGGTGTATGCCATTGTGCTCAGTTTCATCTTTTCTCTACATGTTAGTTATCTCGGGTGTTGTGTTACAGTGGCTGAAAGCTAAGTAATGCAGCCATGGTGGGAGGACATAGGGGCAAGCACCTCGTCGACAGTGGGGAAGGGAGAAAACGCTTTTCTTACTGTCCTGTAAACACTTTTGAAGGAATGGTGGGGAGGCCTGGTATAGTGGTGCACACCTATAATCTCAGCACTTGGGAGGCTGAGGCAGGAGGACTGTTGTGAGTTTGAGACCAGCCTGCGCTACAAAGTGAGTTCAAGGCCAGCCTGAACTGCACAGTAAAATCCTGTCTCAAAAAGACAAGACTTTAAAAAAAAAAAGGATGGTTAGAGCTTGGGACATGCTGCCAGAGAAAGGACATACAGGCCCAGCAGGTGAACCCAGTCCTAGGCTGGTGTTTACATTGCACAATCACCTGCTACGTCACCGTGTGGCAGGGCCTGGAGAGACCAGGTGTCTTATGCAATGTAAGTGACCCCCACGGTTTCCTGAGCACTCCTAGTGTGCAAACTTTGAGTATCACTTCATTTACTCGTCCCAACAACCCTGCAAGGTGTGGATGTCATCTCCACGGAGAAGCCATTAAGACACAAAGTCATCAAAACATCCCTCAGGGGCTGGGGATTTAGCTCAGCGGCAAAGCGCCTGCCTGGCAAGCGCAAGGTCGTGAGTTCGGTTCCCGGTACCGGAGAAAAACCAAAAAAAAAAAAAAAAAAAACATCCCTCAGTGTGCACAGTGCCACACAGCCAGGGAGTGACAGAGCCGGGCTCTGAGCTCAGATTTTTCTAGCATCATTCCTGCCCTTCCACCTTGCTCATAAGGTCAAGGAGGGAGTCACGAGACCTCAGCCACGTGAACCGGGTGGTCAGACACCAAACCCGTGTCTTTAACACAGTCAGCTATGCAGACTGAGATGTGAGGGCAACAGCTTTGAAATATTCCAAGAAGGTTGGAAACAGGAACCTCCCTTTCCAGCTGACCAGCAGAGATGACAACACTAAGGGAAGAAGCTAATTCCACAGAAGCCACCCTGTGCCAGAAGGGCCATGCCAGGCATGGCTTCTCACCCTTGGATGATCCCTCAACAGCACCCACCCCCTGTCCAGGGCCCTCGTGTGGAAATGCAATAGCAATCTTGCAGGGAGAGGAACAGGGAAGAAGGGAGAAGACGAAGTGACGTACTTATTTTCATTGCTGGCATCATATCGAGGAGACGGGTCATAATCATTTCCGTTGACGTCATAACTTGCATAAGAATCCTAGGAATTAAATCTTGGTGAATGAGGAGAGATGGCACGGTATATTACAGCACTGGATGAGAATACTTTTATGCCTGTCTGGAAAACAAGGAAAGCTATACACAGAGTTTCCCCTTTACTACAACTATCATAGACAGAGAGTACTGTGCTAAAGTATACACTGCGTAAAATCTATCCTCTTTTAAATTCAGTGACATTAAGGACATTTACCTTGCACTGTCATCTATCTCCAGAAATTTTTCATCCTGAAGAAATGAAACTCTGTACTATGGAACACTAACTTGCCCCCAGCCGACATCATTTTGTTTCCTTTCTCTAGGACTGTGACAACTCCAGGAAGCTCCTAGAGTAGAATCATACAGCATCTGCCCTTTGTGCCTGCCTTGTTTCCCTGGGGATACAGTTTTCCGGTTCATCCATGTCATCCTATGTATCAGAACTCTTTAAAATTATATACCTTAATATGTACTGTTTTGTTTGCACACTTACAGCCAGAGTAGTCATATCATTTTTTATTTCCCTTTGACAACACATCACAAAAGCTTTCCAGGGTTATTGACATTGACGTCAAAACCCCTTTTTTTCGTGTCTATGAAGCGGATGCAGTACAGTTTACTTAACCACTGTGAGGTACCCACGTTCCTTAGAGTATTTAATGCATTTATCATACATGCCAAGTCCTGCTCTTTACATTTATGAGCTCATTTAAAATCCTCACAATAGCCCTAAAAGAGAGCAGTCCTCTTTTTAACCCCACTTTATTATAGTAACGCTGAAGCACGGGAAAGGTAAGCAACCTGCTCAAGCTCTCAGAGCTAATGCGTTGCAGAGCCAGGAGAGCAACCCGGGCTGTCTGAGCCCAGAGCCAATGTTTCACCCTGCAGTTAGTTGTTCATGTAGCTAATATGTGTATGAGGACCTCCTCTATGCAGATGCATCTTGGATCTCTAGACTCCAGTCCTAGAAGTACGACTCCTCAAACATGCGGTCCAATGTTTCTACAACAACCCCCCGCTCCCGCCGGTCTGGTAGTAGGACAGCAGCTGGTGGCAGCATGTTTATTTTTTCCAACCCTCCTCCGCAGTTTCCTTTCTTGCTTAATTTAGCAGGAGATGATCATTCACGGGTTTTGAAATTTCTATGCATTTAATGGGTAGCATGGTCCGCTAGTACGCGTGTCCGTTGTGAATCTTCACTTACATAATTTGGAGCCAGGTCTGGGTGATTCCTCTCTATGCCGTCGTCCAGGATGGTGACCACCACGTTCTTTCCCGTGTAGCCCCGCTTCCACGCCGCCTGGACGTTCATTTCCGATCGGCAGCGACTGTTCTTGTCGCCACAGTGCTGTTTGCACAGAAGACACAAAGCTCCTGAAGCAGCAACAGCACAGGGTGCAAAGCCGCAGAGGCTGCTCTGCTTACAAGCCGGCAGGAGGGAAAAGCAGCCCCTGACTGAGACAGCCGAGACCTGCTTCTTCACCCCAGCTCCTTCTGAACCTGGAAACCTGGCTATCACCGTCCTAGGGCATTGTTTCCCTCTAGGGACTCTGTTTAGGGGCCAGGCTTTAACACTTAGCAAGTGTTACAGCCCATATCAAACCTCTTCCCTACGCAAGGAGCCCACTGAGCCTACAAGGACCTTCAGAAAAAATCACAAGCATACACCTCTTGAAGTAGAGGTTCTACACCCAAGACGAAGTGTGTCTGTCTGGAGGTGTGCTGGGGTTTTAGCTTGGTTGAAGGAAATCCACCCATGCCAGAGACACAGCACTGAAAATGCCCCAGGGCAGGGGGCAGAGTGAGGCCCACACCCTACTCACCATGTACCACATGTTGGACCAAATAGGGTCGTTGAAGTAAAGGGTCTGAGGGTCGCTTCGCACCTGTCTCTTCACCCTGCGTTTCACTTTTTGTTGTTGTAGCCATTTCACCTACCAGGAAGAAGTACAGTTATTATTTGTTTTAAAAATGATCTCCTAGCCAGGCGTGGTGGCGCACTCCTGTAATCCCAGCACTCAGGAGGCTGAGGCAAGAGGATCGCTGTGAGTCTGAGGCCAGCCTGGGCTACAAAGTGAGTTCAAGGCCAACCTGAAGTGCATAGTGAAACCCTCTCTCTCAAAAAAAAAAAAAAAAAAAAAAAGACACACACACAAAAGTGATCTAATTGTATGTAGCTACTGTATAGGCACCGTATATTTCCTTGCATAAAAACATCCAGGTCATAGTTGATGTTTTGCATAGGACACTCCAAAGGGGCATTTTTACTTCAGTGACAACTTGTTTCTTACACGTAGAGAAGAACGTTATAGCACACTGATAGGTACTGAAGCTGCTCTACTAAAACAAACAAAACACAAAGAAGCCTAGACTTGTAAAGTTGCCAAAAGAGTGACACACGATCTCCATTCCAAGAAAAAGGAAAGAGATGGATGGGAAATGAATGAGGGAAGGGAAGGAAGAAACTATTCGGTCAAACTCTTATCAGACATTGCCGTACAGTGAGGCTGTGAATAAGTACATGATGATAATCCGTACATTGAGATTTTTGGCAGCCACTGGAAACATGGCAGTAAAACATGCACAGAGAAACATCTAGAAAGGGATACAGCAGAAAACAATCCAGAAAGGAATATAATAGCAGCAATTTTGGGGAAATGACGTTATTGTCAACTTTACAGTTTTTAATTACTTTTAGGATTTTATACATTGTTAAAATTGCTATGATTTGCTTTTGTAATCAAGGAGAACGCTTGACAGGTGGTATACATGGTGCGGAAGAGCAGGGATCCAGGAGCTCGGCTGCCTGGATTACAAACGCAGCCCACACTCACCAGCCGTGGGAGTCGGAGCAAGCAGTTAGTCTTCTCGGCCTCAGCTTGTCCACAGAATGCGGCTCAGCTGCCCGACCCTGAGGGTTAGTACTGCACACGAATGGTCTGCAGTCAGTGCTCAGACCACCGCCTGGCACACGGCCATCATTTTCATCATTTCTGTGCACATTCTTTTCAAGTTGGAGGAGCTGACTCATTTTTATAGGATCTCACGGGAGTGGAGGTATTTTCTTTGGACTTAGTGTGGTGGGCCCTCCAGTTCAGCAATGATCAAAGCTAGGGTTCAGCACAGTATGGTACTGGAGTCCAAGTTTGGCAGGAAGAGGATGAGAATGGGGACCTAGCCTCCATTCTCAAGGGGTCTGTGCCTTAGTCCAGGACTCCGCCAAGCAGACGAGAGTGTGGTGAGACAGGAGTCTGCATGGGACTGGGGCAATGGGATAGAAGAGAAGAGGGAGGAAGACAGGTGAAGGAGAGGGCTGAAATGACATGGAGGCTACTGGGCAAGGCTGGGGATTCTCACCTATCCTGGAAGCTTGAGTAGCTGTGAAACCAAGCAGCTGCCAGAGACAGCACAGGGAGTGAAGGCTTCCCACCACCAAAGGGTAAGGTTTCTTTTCCTCTGTCTTGGCCTTGATTACCCCAGTGCTCCAAGGGAGGACAGCAGGAGACCCCACAAGGAGCCTCACAGTTAGGGGTGGAGACTGATCTCAAAGGCACCCTTGGTGTACAGGACAAAATGTTTAGAAAGAAATACCATAGCCTGTTCCATTCCATGTGAGTTGTATATAAAACGATCCCAGGCCAGGACCCTTAGAAACACTGCAGAAAAGCTCAAGATCAATTTTAAGTTAGACACTTAAAAAGCCTCAGCATGAAGTCCTAGATCACTTATAATTGCCACTATAGATACTCCTACAGAAAATGCAACTATAAAATGAGATATTTTGTTGATAATACCTACTGGCAGCATTTTGCAACTTCCCCATATATTACTGCCTGAAGTAAAAGGCTTTTACCTGGTATAAAGTATCTAAGATGAGATTTTGTAATCTGCTTAGCATCCTGCTATAAAATACAGTGGAATGTGGACTCCCAATGGCACCAGGCCCCTTGGGATGTTCCATCCCTTGCTGAGCCCTGGAGTCACTACGATTCTGCCAGGCAACACTTGCAGTCAGAGAAGGAGGTGAACTCTGCTCTTCTAAGCCCGAGTGAGTGACTCCACCGCATCACTTAGGTAATGTGGGGAAGCATGTTTCTCGAAGTCATGAAATATGCCCAGCAGGATGGGAGCGCTTGGCATCTATTATGGCCTGTATCTAGATGTATCCCCCAAAGCCTCATGTAGTCATAGATGGAGCTTTTCAGAGGTGGCTGGATCAAGGGTATGTGATGCCAGGATTGACTCATGGTGCGATGCTAGGACTAAGGGTGCCCCACCCTGGGTGTCAGTGCTACCCACCTGAAGGCAGGGAGCCTGGATAGAATATGAGGGACAGTTGCCGCTTGCTTCCTTGCTACTTCACTGCTTTGCTGTCTTCCTATCTTCTGCCTGCCATGAACTGTTTCTCCTCTGTGATGCCCCTCTGCCATGCCACCCTGTCTTGGAGTCAGCCAACTGTGAAGTGAACCGCTGCAAACTGTGAACTAAATAAAGCTCTCCTCCTTTAAGTTTGGGCGTCAGGTATTATGTCTCAGCAACAATAAAAATAATAAGACAGCATCTCCTTCACTAATCATTGCTGGGCTCTGCATAAGAGTCCCATGCTGATACATAGCTCTCAGGGTGAGCTAGGCCAGCGCCAGGTCCACAGCATAGTTAGGGGCACTCCCAGTGGCATGACTCTGGCCCTCTTCGATGCCCTGGTGATAGACCCAGTTATTGCAAGCCTCTGACAACCACCAAGACAGGGTTGGTCCAATGAAATCAAACATGATAGATGTGCCAGGTGAAAGGGCTTCTGGATTCCAACTCTATGGAGATGAAACCCAGGTGGACAGCACGGTCACAGCAGCCAGTTTTGCCAGTGATCACATTATCCTTTCCCCTGGGCTCTGGTCACTGCCTTGCTCCTCATCTATCCTAGGAAGAACAATGGAATCACCAACCTCACCTCTTACCCACCACAAAGAGTAAGCCACTTTCCAAATCCAACTTCCCTGATTTCTCTGCACATCAGGCACCCTGTGGTCACTTATTCAGTCGCTTGCTCAACAAAATACCCTATATGCCTGTGCTAGGTTTGGGAGGAGGAACGGGAATATACCTGGTCCTTGTCCAGGGACTAGGTGCTTTTCCCTCTGCCTTGGCTTGGATGCAAAACTCTTGTTTCATATCTCTGCTAGGTTAGAGCCCTAGAGTCACCTGGCCACACAGGAAAGGCTAGAGATGTGCCAATGACCTGAACCCAAGTGACTGGAAACTTGAACTCACCTGTCCATGCTGAAAGGATGCCCTTGCACAGGCATTGTTCCAACAGTCTCATGTACATGATATGCAGCTTATAATAAAGAACCCCATCACAGAGTGTCCCTAAGCATGTGCTACTTGTGCAATTAATTATTCTGTGGGACTTGCAAACAAATGGTGACGTGGTGAGAGTTGCAGAGGAAAGGAGACTCGACTCTTGCACTATTTACTTTACACATGCAATCACCTGAGTTAGGAAAAGTAATCTGGGGGTCTCTGTAAGATTTAAAGCATTCTCCCTCTCCTGGGAGGACCAGGACTAAAGGGAAGCCTAACAATGCTGCTCCGGCAGTACACTTGGACTGTCACTTTCCACTGAAGTTTCAATCACAACCTACTCACCAGATGCCTCACAATGTCTACATAGGAGGTTCAGACTTCCTCTGTGAAAAATGTATGGAAGAGTCAGCAGCACACACTGACTTACCTTCCAAGGTCATGGATATGCAACTCAGAAAATAAGTCCTAAATCCAAGGACGACTGCGAACGGGCAACCCCACCCCCATCTGTGATTGGATGGATTTGGGGTTGCTATGGTTTGGAAGGGTTCGCTAAAGGGCCATGCGTTGAAAGCTGGTCCTCAGCCTATGGTGCTGGTGGGAGGTGGGGCTTAGTGGGAGGAAGTTAGGTCACTGGGCACGTGCGCTTGACAAGCTACTCGGCTCCTTCTTCTTCTCTCTTTGCTTCCCAGCCACTGTAAGGTGAGCAGCTTCTTCCACCACACGCTCAGGCTGTGAGGTACTCTGCTGCCTCAGGCCCAAAGCAACAGGGGCCAAATGATGATGGACTGAAACCTGCAAAACCCTGAGCGAAAATAAACCTTTCCTCTTTTTAAGCGTCTTGTCTCAGGTATTTGTCACAGCAACAGAAAGCTAACACAGGGGTGATGTGATTATCCTCTGCTGCCCAGCTGGTTTATACGCTCTGCCTGGACAGGGTTTATGTTCTGTGCACCACTGTATTTCAGTCTGCTAGGCGATTCATGGCATATAGCGAGGGCTCACTAAATGTTTCCTAGATCAAGACACAAATTTAGACTTCAGATTTTAAACAGGAATATGCTTCAAATGCTATAACCACAAAGAAACTTCTTCCCTTCTGAGTTGAAAATGTGACCAGGTCTTCAATCCTGGGTGATACTTGCTCTCCTTTTCTGTAGAAAATCAATTATAAGCATATTGGTATAAGTGCAAGGTATGTTTGCCAAATGCCACTTCCAGCCCAAACACAAATCACATCTGTTCATGAAAATGTTTTGATTTCTTTGAAGATGTATTTTGAAAACACAACTTCATTCTGACTTTTTTCCTTTTATCCATTTTCTGTTTGAGTGTTTCTGGCTAACCATGCAGCATTCTTATCCTAGAAAGTTCTCTGTCCTGGAAATCAGTTCTAGGCAGAAAGAAGACTTCATAACCTTAAGATTATATGGGAAAAAAAAAAGATTACATGGAAAACAATTTGTCCTTGGTTTTGGTTTGTGTGCTCTGGGGAGGGAGCTAGGCAGCTCTACCACTGAGCTACACCCCCAGTCCTACAATTTCTTTCTAATTTTTTTGGTAGTATATGTCCTTTTCCAACTTTCCTCTTAGAAGTCAAGTTAAAATTGGACATCTGTGGAATGTT